TAAAAAAGAGATATTGACCAACTAGAGTGAATTTAGTGGAAGGTCATCAAGCTGATGAGGGGGCTGGAGCACATGATGTACAAGAAGAGTCTGAGGGAGCTTTGTTTGTTCAGCGTGCAGAAGAGGAGATTAATGGGGGATATAACTCTTGTCCTCCATGAATGAAATTGCAGGTTATGAATAGATCGAGTCAGACTTGTCCCAAAAGCGCAGAGAGGAAGGACGAGAGGTAATGGTCATGAGTTATAGCATGAGAAATTCCAATTGGATGCCAGGAAAAACAATTCGCCAGTGGTTAATCACTAGCACAGGTTGCTGAAAGAGGCTTTGCAACCTCCAGCCTTGAAGATTTTCAGCACTTGTCTGGACCAGAGCCTGAGCAACCAGATCTATCTTTGAAGTCAGTTGGTGCTGAGCAGTAGGTCGGATTAGGTGGCCTGGAGTGGTCATTATGTGCATTATTCTTCTTTCTGTCTGAAGCTGTGTTCCAGCTTTGTCTGGGATTATTTTCCACCACTGCACTGTATTTGTCACTACTGGTTATGTACTATTTCATCCTGTTGGCTATATTATCCTTTATCTTTGCTCCCTGGAACAATTCAATTAGTAGTAACTGTTCAATTTTCACATAAGGCTTTCCTGACCAAATTTAGCTTATGTTGTGCAGTGTGTTTGCCACATCTCTGCACACTTCATCCTGAAGTGTCATGCTGTGCTATCATTTTAGATGTACTTTTTGCTCAGTATGAACAAGAGGGTACAGTCCCATATATTCCTCTTAGAAACTTTTTGACCACAAATGTGTGTAGTTTTCACTGTTACCAAACATCCACATTCTCTATAGATTCACATACTCTAATAATCTGTATGAAACATTATGACAGAAAGAACAGACAGGGAACACATTATTAAAAAGATCCAGTAAGGCTGCATTGCTTTCCCAGACAATATTCTGAACAACATAATTATGATGAACATTTAAAGACGCCCATAAAAGAGCATAAATCTCATCAAAACAAATTTGCTCAAAAATGTCCTTTGCTACAAGCACCCTGAACAATCAGCAAAAGAGCTTCTTAACTACATCCGCTAAGCACCGAATCCACGCAACTGGTTGTCAGCTTTCTCAACTGACCTTTGTAGCATTCCCTGGTAAGCCAACTGTCCATTGAGAGAAATTTTAGCCTTGATATACTGGCTTATTATTCCAAAGATAATCACCACATATTGTAATACCACTTGTGCAAGTATCTAATTGTGTAAAAGAAAAAATTAATTCAAAAGTTTCCTTAAGTGACTTTTTAAAATATAAAATTGATAGTCTCCATGGAAATGAAGCCCAATACAGTTTTTTCCTATAAGCCTCCTACTCTACTGACACTTTTAATATGTGATAATTATGCACATTCACCCTTCTATTACATAGTAGTAGGAAAATGCTAATTACTGTTTGATCTTCGGAGAGCTTAGATAGTTATGGACAATCTCGAAACTTCTTAAGTTCTATGAGGTAGGTACACATATGCTGAAATTCATGTTGAAGAGAAGCCTGGAAGGTATAACTCCTCTTTCTCTATTCATATTAAGAGAGGTAGCAATTAAAATGTAAATTACATACAGAGCTACTTTAATGAAGGAAAGACAAACAATTCTATTGTTTAATATGTTAATAGCTTTGCGGTATGGTAGCTACTGCAATATAACCTTTGCTTTGGGAAAAGGAGTTTACTTGGTTACATTCCCAATTTCGAAGTAAAGCTATAACCCTAGAGCTGCATTAGTTTTGTCTCACACTTCAACACTTTTCATCTACATCTAGAGAATGCAACCGTATATCTATGCATCTTCCTGTCTTAGGCTCCTTCGTGTAACTGAAGTGCTGCATTTACTGTTTTAAAGGATACTGCGTAACCGCAGAGTATATAGAGATGAGATGACAGGTTAAACTGTGGCTAGGAAACTATCCTTAGCTTATTGATTATGACTTGATAAAACTATTTAGTTTATTAACAGGTGACTGGACCATATACACATAGTTTGCATGTATGTGAAAATGTAAACAGCATTTGGTAGTAGAGGTTTTGACTGAGATTCATTTATTTTAAAGAGAAAGCTGAGGCAAATACACTTAGGGCCTATTTCTTCTCAGCATCCTCTGCAGCTGATGAAGAGAAATAGACACAGATCTGTGATCTGATGTGTCCTGTGGAGATGTCTGTCTGTCTCCTTTGATCACAGAAGGAGATTTTGTACCTAATGAATTGGTGAAATTACAATGGATGAATCCAATACCTTATTGCTTCTGTGGGTAAAGACACTGGGAAGCTGAACCCAACAAGCTTGAAAATGGAAGCAACATGGAACCATTACAGACATTACAAAAACATGCAGTCAGTTCTCCATCATTTGTCGTCTTAGCCTCTGGAAAGGCTGGTCCACAGGCAACATCACAATGTGCTTTTCCTGCCACCCTTGGTAGGCTGGAAGCAAATGTCTTTGAAACAAGCTGCTTTTCAGCCAAAGGTTAGGGATCATAAATATATAATTTTAGATGCAAGAGACTTTGGAAAGCACATGTTTCTCTGGACACCATAGTTTAGAATAATCATAAACTATTTGACCACATATTATCTGAGTCTTGATCTTTATTCATGCTAGTGAATATTTGTTTATGCAGGCTGTTCCTTTGACTTGATCTGCACTGCTTGTGGAGGAAAGGCTTATTCAGCACAAGCAGCAGTGACATAATCTGGCCAGATGAGGCTAAAGTGCAAGTATTAATATTGTTTTGGTCATCACAGTTGTCAGGGTCAATGGCTCCTTCAGACAACTGCTTTGGAGTACTGAGTTACTTGAACCCTTGCCTAGCAGTGTTAAAGGCTGAGGGGAAATGGAGGTTCTTCTTCCCATTACTTTTTTTCTGGGGAGGAGTTCTTCAGCTAAATTTTAGAACTCCCTTTAGCTGAAACTAGCCCCTGCCTTTCTCAAATCCTGCTTTTTTCTGGACTTCAATTCTTTTTTTTTTTTTTTTTTAATTAGGTTAATGATGCAACACACTTTGGAATGTCGAGGGTCTGTGTGACAGCTATGCATTTGTTCCCACTACTCTTGAATCTCACAATACTGTGAAAGCCAGGTTGATATCAACTACCTGGTAATTTGGAAAGCCAGGTAGCAAAGCTGCTATTATCACCTCCAGGTGTAGGACAGGGCAGAACAGATCCCTGCTTTGCCCCAGTGTTGGACCATTTATTTCTAAGGAAGCAATATATCAAACTAATGGGCTTTGCATTGGTTTCTTATTTCGTGATAGTACAAAACTGAGTAAATTTACTAGTGAGATATTTTTGATATTTAAATGTGAATCTCACGCACTGAAGTTAGGCTGGCATGTCAGTATGAAATACTGCTCTGAGCAGCCTGCCAGATTAATTCCTTTTCAATAATAACACTAGTATTGTTTTTTTTAATGTTAGTAGCAATATTTACCCAGCAAAGGACAACACACCTTACAGGGAAGGCTGTATTGTGCTGTGCTATCATGGGTAAAATCCCAGAAGGCAGTTCTTCTATGGAAGTCAAGTCCTTCTGAGAGCTTCTCAGCAGGTAGGAGCACAGACATAAGGTTGCAGGTCATGCAGACTTGTTTGTTTGCTTAAGGGAAACACAGATGTAGTCCTACCTCCTGCTTCCCCTCAGTGGGAAAGTGCTCTACTGAGGAACATCTAGCAGAAAAGTCACTGACTCACTCTCCTCCGGAATATCAGGTACTGCCAGTTAGTGTATTATAAATTCAACAAAGCTTTATAAATTATATCATCAATGATGCCAACAGCCTTGTCAGCTTAGTTGTTCTAAAAAAAGCCAGATATCGAGGTAAAGTCACGAGAGTGTAAAGAAGAAGCATCTTAATGGGAAACTAACAGTGTTAAAAGCCCATTAAGAATATTTCAAAAAAAAAAAAATGTGTACATGAACTTGTCTATGTGATGACAATTTGAATAAAGATATCAAATTTAAATTCCCGCAATTAAATCTATCGTAACCTTCTTTGTACAATTTCCTCTTCATCCAGACCAAATATATTTGGCCTAATTTGGTTAGAAATCAACTTCCATGGAAATAAGCAACAGGGAAGCATGCCAAGAGGGATACCATCTAGCAGGAAGGACAGGCAAGGACAGAGAGGACCTAGGACAGTGCAATTCATTAAGACAGAGCAAACACATAGTCAGGCATTCAAGGTTTACATGACCAAGTAAAATAGAATTTCAATAAACCTAAATTGAAATTTTTATTTTAAACTATCAGGGACAGAGGGGTAAACTTTTTCCCCCTTTGACAAACCCTAGGGGATTTTCTCATTCCTTCTGATGAGAAAGTATTGTTTGAAGTTCCTTGACCAGTTTTCATCAACGATTTTGCACAAAAAATTGCTCTGCATATATATTTTAATGAAAATACTCACTAGATCAACACTATTGGCAATAAGCGGGTCTGTGATCTTAGAAACACACTTTACCTTCATAAATAACTCAGGTTAGTGATAACACTCTGCAAATGGCACTGTCCCTCATTCTATTACATGAAAATAATTACCAAAAACACAGAGTAAAGAAGCCTTTTTTAAAAAAAATAGGCCTACAAAATAGTAATTTAAAAAAGAGCACTTAAAAGAATCTGAACAATTTCTATACTAGAGAAAACAGATATTAAAAAGATTATTGATATTTATGTTTCAGGACACAGCTTAATCATCAGGAAGGAACCCCTGATGTTTTTTGGTTCCCTCAATGTCATATGTCAGTAATACTACTGGGTGGGTAGATTATGGATTTTTAAACTCTACCTCAGTATTCTACCACTCTCCCTAGGTACTGCAGTGTAGGACAATACTGTATGATACAATGCTTTAATGTATCTTCCTGCCTCAGGAATGCTTAGCAAAACTTCAGCAGTCAAAACACTTTTCATTGTATTTTCTTTAGTAATACATTTACCCAGGACCCACGGTAATATCATCCACTCGACGATGGTTGGTGGTGGTCCCTGCATGTTCAAGTCAGACCTGTCAATATGCTGAGAGGCAAGCAACAGCAGGAACAGAAAAGTCAAGTAGGATGCAGTATGACAGATAAATTTGATAAATGGCTTTCTGATGAACAGCCCTAATGGGCTTTTGGGAGCTATCAGGTAGCACACGGAAAAGACTGGGAAAAGGAGTCCTATCACAACACATGTCAACATCTTCACAGCCCAGTGTCGCCTCCTCCATCCTGGGAACTCATCGTACCAGCGGGATGCAAGCAGCTGCTGGCAGTTGGGCTGGGCAACAAACTACGGGGAGAAGAAGAAAGGAAGACAATTAGTTCCATATTATTGCTATTAAGTTATTTCCATCCTACGTTGGTCACAGGCCCTTACAATAAGTAGCTTTTGGGTAGACATAAAAAAAAATCCACAGCCTGTGCAAACCCACTCATATTGGTAATAACAGTGAGGCAGGACTAAGTCACACTGCCTTCCCTTCCTTTGTTATGAAAAGCATAGCAGGAAGCCCCTGAAATTCACTTTTCACAATAAAGCTTGGCTTCCTCAACATTAAAGCACACAAGGTGCTAAGGGACTGTAAAATACAGATACCTCAAAACCTTTTTTTCAAATTCAAATACATATCTGCAAATAATACTTCCATTATTCACCCATCAACACTTGTGCAGAATTTGCAGAATATCGGGTGGAAGTCATTATAAACATGAAAAGCATGATGTTGTTACAAAGCATAACTGAGATCTGCAAACAGTGAAACTCAGTTTCACAGCCAAAAATGAACTATCCTCAGTATATTCTCTGTTAATTCTCTAAAAATCAGGTTTACATATTTTAATACTAAACAAAACTCTTACAGACTATTACATAATGCTTGCACAACATGAATTAAGCACTAACATTTCCAGTGCTGTTTTGCTTCACTAATCTTTGTCAGGATATATTTTTGTCCTTCACAATCTTTTATGGTCTGTCTGTTCTCCATGATCTAGTTCCCATTTTTAAAACATGATCCTCAAAAATGATTTTAAAAAAGGAAAAGTCAACAAATATTTCATATTTTGCATCTAGCTTTTCAAAGAACTTTAGGTATATTCCAAGCTTTTTTGTCATATTTTTTCTTTGATCACTGGTTCCTATTTTTTCTAATGCTTTCTTTTACAAAGCGGACATAGAGTCTCAGGGTGCTAGATTTGAGATAAGAGAGATAAAAAAGAAGCAATATACTCATCAAAGAGAGAGAGACTTCTTGTATTGTTTTTTTCTTTACAGAACAGAAGGAAAAGAAACATTTTCCTTCTCACTTTACACACATGCATATATTGGATTAAATCAATAGCTGAAGACTTAATACAGCCATGCAGGAACTTGTTCGACTTCCTATATAACAAAATAGTTCATTTGCACTGAAAATTTGATTTGAGTTCTAATCCTACACACTTAGTTTTCAATTTGATGCTTTTTGATAACATTTATAACCACAGGGGCCAAGTTCTTATTTGGGACGAGTGATAGGTAAATTTTGAAACAGTTTCCAAAATGATTGGGACTCCTACTCGGAGAAAATGTTATTTAGTCTGGAATTAAATGAAAGTCAGCATGCATCTTTCTATATATGTCCGAATCCTGTCAGAAAATCTTAACCTAGAGCCAAATTCAAATGTGTTGTATCTTAATGAAATGCTAGTGTCCTTAGCAGAGATATATTTGCTTACCAGACACCAACACTAAACCTGACTCCAACTGCTGTGAAAGAAAAGAAACCCTACCGTGAGAATCTTGAAAATAACCTTAATGAAGAGTAACAGTGTCCTCTTCCATTAGGAAAAATGCATTTTTAAGGTTTCAGGATGCTTATTTCAAGATATGAATGCCTAAATGCTGTGCTCAGTTAGAGCAGATGGTTTGTAAGTTATCTATTGCCAACTTTTTAATGCGGGTCTTCCTTACAACATTTTTCACCTCATTTCACTTAGGTAGACACAGACTAGTGTCTAGGTTGACTAGTGAACAAATTTGACTCATGCACTAGTCCCTGGATGAAATATTTTCCTCTTTCTTCCCAGCATCAAAAAAACAAACAGATCCATGTTTGTTTCCATGTCTTCATAACCCCTCTCACTCAAAACAGAGTTCCTTAAGTCTTGCCTCTGTCCACTTCCTCAACACCTTGGGGCTGCCATAATAGTTTTGCGGACCCACATGAAGGAACAACTCTTCTGATGGATAGCTAAAAGGCTAGTGGTAGATGTAGGTAGCCTATTCCTTGCCAAAAAAAAAAAAAAAGGCTAAAAAAGAATGAACTCTCCTCACCATAATATGGAGGAAATTATGTAAAAGGAGAATTTCTAGCATCCACCAAGTACTGGGTTGCTCTGGAACTGGGTAGACCAGAATTGATAGATAGGTAACTTGGGGTGCTGAGCTTATAAAGAACACTTCTGTTGCTGATGCTCTTTATGCTACTCTCTTATACAGTTTGGAGAAAATGCTTGCTGAAAGCTCTGTCTGAAGGGGAGCTCCACACTGGGTGGGGAGTAGACACTTAGTTCTAATCTTTAAGCAGATAAAAGGTAAAGCATTGAATGTCAATACATAAAGGAGGTGTAATCTAAGAATTTCTGAGTAGACTTGAAAAACTGTTTTCTGTCTCCTAATATCCAAACTTGACGCTGCCTTGCTCTGACTGTGCTGCTACGACATGACACATGTAAAGGACAAGGATGGCTTTATGAATATAGGAAGTTTTTCTATAAGTTCAGAAAATTGTGAAAGAGTAATTACCAAAGAGTAAATTTTTCATAGTAGATTATTTTAAAGAAACCAGTTCTCATACTTTTCCTCAAATTATGGCTGCTACAGTGTGGCAGCACATATTTATCACTTGTTAGATTCTCTAACCATAGAGGAAAACTAACTTTTAGACTATTTTAATTTACTAGAGATAGGGTGAGATAATTCTCACCCTAACTCTCATTATGGAAGCTGTTCTAGTAGATCAGGCAAGGGTCTATAAAAGAAACCATAAAACAGTGTCTGCAGATGATATACCGCATTTCTGAGAGATCCAGATATCCAGTTTCATGCAGTTGTTTTTATCTATAACACTATTAGCAAGCTAGAGAACAGTATCCTGAAGCAACAAATCTGTCTCTTCATCGTAGCCTTTTCTTTATTGTCCTGAGTTCTATTAGCCATATATAAACACTATGAGCTATCCCTATGGAACCCCATCTAGGATGATCACATGCTAAAGCTACATATATATGTAAGAAGTCCTCTGCTGAACTGGGACCTAAAAAATATTTTATGACTAGCAGAAACAGAAATACTCTGTGACATTATTTTGCCAGTTCTACATTGTCTATGCCAAAATATTTTCACTGTGGTATATTTTTTCTTCCTTAATTGGAGATTTTACATTCTGAGATATCTGAAGTATCTTTTGTGCTGTCAGAATTATGTTGTATGTTATTTGACTTTGACATTGTCTCCATATAATTAGCAATCAGCATGTTTTTATTTTCACATTACAACGGCTTCCACTAGCTTCCAGCAGTTTGTAATTATCTGAGGGATTTTGCTGTAATAATTATTCCTGGTTGCAGATCTTTAGATCCTTCATAGAATCAGCCCTTCTGAATATTTTTCTATATTCACTCTCTCATTTGTGATCCTGGGAATTGGTTCTTCCCTGAGACTGGTGAAAATCAGAAATTGCTTACTGTATCAACAACCTGGTGTAAGTAACAGCAGAGTCTGATTCGAGTTATAATCAAGCATACACATATCCTGAATTTCATTTTCACTGCTGATCACATCTGATCTCTAATTTTCTGTAATACTGTAGCATGTCCTATAGTCAATGAAATGATGAAGAAAAAATGTGATGCTATTAACTATAGATTTTTTTTTACAGATAATATATTTTGCATTAGTCATAATAATTTCCTTCTTTCTAGCATGCTAACACCTTGAAGTACTTATTTCATTGTATCAGGAACTACACAAAGATATTAAAAAAAGCATATATAATAGGGTGTTCATTTTTATACTTACAAAGTAGTCTAACAAAATCCAAGATTCAGATTAAATTCTCATTCTGAGCTCAGTAGGTGGTTTAGTGTATAGAACACGTAAAAAGAATGTGATGCACCACCTAGAAATGGAAACGTCTTGAAGGAAAACTGTTTCCTTTTTGACTTCTTTATATGTGGTGGGTATAACCGTACAGCACAACACAAAGATCTATCCTGATACTCTCCAATAGGCAAATGTTAAGGAAAATCTGTTTGGAGGGAGAAGGCAAAAGCAAATGATTATCATAAAGTTTCTTAGTGATATTTTTTGTAAAAGCACAGACTAGATTCTCCACTGTGTTGTTTTATATTGCTGTTCCAGCCAAACTGGTATGAAATATTAGCACTGAGGTCTGCTACTTTGTCATACACATTTTTCAATGGTTGTACTCCAGTTCAGCAAGAATTAAGACCACTGACTTTTTCTCTCTCTAGAATATTTTCATTTTTCATATTTTACATATTTTCCTAGATATTTTATGAAAACTCAAGCTTTTCTAGTTATTTTAAGTTCAAACTTAGATGTTAAAATTCTCTATGTACTGGTAGTGAAAAAGTAGATTTGCTTGGCATTAATGACTGTTTCGAGTCCAGCCTCATCAAGTAGACTCCTGATTTTGGTAGACTGTTTTTCCCTCTAGAGATATCATTACGTCTTTAATACATTATCTCTCTATATCTTCCCCCAAAGATTACATTTGTGAACTTAGGCACTAACTCTAGGACTAGCTAATTTAAGGCAAATAACATTTAATTGCAGTTTAAGTGCTTTAACTTGGTTGACTGGATCAGCATTACATTTTCCTTTATAAAAGCTAGTGACCGTGTTCTGGACTCCTTTGAATACATTTATACTCTCTGCTTTCTGCCTCTGGGGCCAGAAGCCCCAATCCCTGTACCAATTATTGTGAGTCTTCTCATGTTCAAGTCTAGTGCCATCTGGAGCAGACTAGCATCATGATTATGCTCTTACTGGGAAGCAGACCACCAGGGCATCTTCCTTCTGTTTTTCCTGTGGCTCCGTCTGTAAGGGAACTACCTAGCTCAATGGAGATCAGAGCACTAGAACAAACCAGCTCATATATTGTCAGGACAATCAGATTTAGATCAGCTCCCTATAGCAAAACAAGTTCACAACATAGATGCTTTCATCATAAAATCTAGAGTTCGCACTGTTGGCACCAACATTAGAAAACAATGCTAACAAAG